GCAGTATCCAGATACTTGGGCAGCCAAGTGGCCGTACAGTTGGCATCGGTGGCACTGACCATCGATGGCCGTATTTCGGGGGGCTTCAACTGCAATCCCCGTTGTAGATGCGTTGAAGGCACAGATCTAGGAATCGTTTCTTATCGATCTTGTAATGCATTCTATGCACGTCACAGAACGGGACATTTTGGACTTTTAGGTCCTCAAGGATGTGGATGGTTTCGAGCTCTTTAGGGAGTCCCCGAACGACCACTCGTAGTTATGTTCCTCAGGGAGGGCGTACGTGTAGAAACTGACCTGTTGGGCGTGCAAGAGTTCTGTCACACTGCGGAAGTCCTCAGCCGTCTCTTCGAATATACGGATGTCATGACCAGCGTTTTGCAGTTTTCGGCAGTATATTTTCTTTGAGTTTAACCAATTGGAAAGGTTGTTCCACTTGGTTTTGTCTTGCACTATGATGGGCTGCAGCGGCTTTTCCCTGCGTTCAGCAGAGGACTCTTTTGCTGTAGGCGTAGCCGCATGCTTAGTTGGTAGAGTGCGTGCTGCGGGGTCTTGCTTTTTAGCCGGAGTGGCGTTGGGGGACGAATGGGCTTAGTTAGTCGCGACTGCCTTTTTAGGGGCTGTGCGTTACACATAGCACGTGTTAAACATACTTTACGGGAGACGAGACAGTTAGCGCAGCTAGCCGAACCACGTAAACGCTGTAAGTAATGACAACTCAGCATGTACGCTCTCTTGCACATTCATTCTTTCCCGTCTTCGGTCTCGTTCTATTTTAAGAAATATTTTTAGGGTGTCTGACAGCTTTTTCCACCACTAAAATCATCTGTCTTTTTGGAATTATTATTAAAAAATTTACTTGACATGCTATTAAATAATCAGCGTCGGTCAAAAAATGTTTTTTAATATCATTGGGTTGTTCTGGTTCCGTTCCACCCCCACTCAAATTATCTGCAATCAATATGCTACGCTTATTATTGATAATAGAAAACAATTTGTGTTATTTCATGCTGGGTCAATTATATTTTAAACAAATATGTACCTTGTGTCCCCTGTACCCTACTTTTACCTTGCGCAGTACCTGTCCCACCCGTACATGCCAGGGAGTCTAGCCATTCCCCATACACTTTTCGTTGAGTTATATAATTAGTTGGGTCAAATCCGTGCTCAAAATGTGGCACAAGCTCTTGGATTATAAGAAACATAAGCATAAATGGTACAACAATAACAATCACCATCATTGTTTTATTTCCTCTTTACAACGTGTAACGTCACGGTGAAGGTATATACTCGTGAGTACTTTTAACTTTCAAATGGTCGTGTCGAACTTTCGGGCTTGTAAAATATATCCGCACAAAATCTATGATACTTTGTTATGATAAAACTTCAACTATCTCGTGCTACACGATTTTTGTATGTGTTATTATTTAGTTTGTTTATGTCGTAACTAGGTTTAAATCTTTATTTTTCTCCTTTGATATTAGCCTGCAAAGGTTTACTGCTGAATGTGCTTTATTTCCTTTAATCGCCTCGCTTAGCAAACGGATTGATGATCGTCGCTGATTTTACCGGTAAACGGAATAGTTATGCTGGTATCCATCGGAAGTCATGAACTCTTTCTGATAACTCCCATAGTATGAGAGCCGAATAAAAAAAATAATTCAATTATTAGTGGTGCAACTACATCCAACCTATAGATGGAATTGAAGCTACTTGAGTGAATGATACATGACTTTTTTCCATCAAGTGGTATTGTTTTAGACTAGCTTATACACATATAAATATACTGGAAAGGCAAAATTATTGCATTTTTTTCAAGTTCCGACCTTTACTGCATAACTGATACATGATGACTGATAAATGACGAAAAAGTTCCGACGATCTTATAATGACAAAAAAATCCATTATGGTGAGAAAGAACCTAATGGAACTGATAAGTAGCAGTGCGAGTAACCTGACCAGGTGGCTTTCTAAAAAATACATGTCTGCTAGTGCATTTAAATACCTATGTTGAGTAGTGAATAAGCAATGATGTGATGCAAAAATTGCTGTTGCAACGACTAAAATTTTATTGTTACCACATTATTTTCCCGTTATAAACAGCAAATAGCACACTTATTATAAAACACTAAAGTTTCAAAAATACTGTTTCGTTACAAATTGGCAATTAAATATCAACATCAAACCGTCGACAGTGGAATATTAGGCTTCTCATAGCAAGAATTATTTGAACTTATGTCCGCTATTGACAGCAGTATTAACAATCGCAGGACCACTCTCACTCTTACTCACCATTGAATCTGCTTCATGTTATCCATTATACATTTATACCTGTTAGTTCATATGTTATATCAATACACTCTGTAATCTGGCATAATGAAATGGTTAAGCAGACTATTAATGTTTATATAAACATAGTTATAAGCCATAATTGACATTTGGGACATATATGAGGAACACAAATGAGGAATTTCTATCATTATCCATTGAATAACGGATTATGATAGAAATTCCGAATTTGTCAATTATTGAACTGTGTTTTTGATCCTGGTGATCATTGTTCATATTAACATTTTAATGTTTCATTTAAAATAAATTAATAGTTTCAGATGAAAATGCAGACGGCTCCGTGGCGCAGTGGCTTAGCAATGAGTTGCTGCGCTGGGTGGCGCGGGTTCAAATCCCGCACGGAACAAGTATTTGTATGGCCTATAAATGATTGTTCCGGGACTGGATGTTTGTCCTTGTGAAATTTGTGTTTGTAAACTGCCTCCACGATACAGGACAAAATCCTAGTGTGGGGGTAACGTTTTTTTTTTTAAAGAGAAGAGAGAAGATGAATAAGGAGCTTTTGCTTTATAATAATCCTTTATAATAATCCTTTATAATAATTGGGGAAGCCTAGTTTTAACAGTGAACTTGTGATAGAGTGAAATGATTATGATGATATTGATAATGATAATGGTTAATTTAAACATGTTTGAAAAACACAAAATATATCAAAAGGAAACTTTTTGAGGATATGATATTTTTGTTAAAAACAACTGAAATAATTACGGTTTCGATTGATAAAAACAAAAAATACTATTAAAAATTATTATTTATTTTACATATTTACAAAAGTCGCAAACATAAATTATATTTGTTTATACATTATATTTATTAGATAACATAAATGAAAGCGGTAAAAACATTTTAAAAGTCATTATTCACTTGAAAAATTACCATTCTTTTGATTCGGTAGGTCTGCGAGGTTAATATATTATTTTTTTGTCAATAGTAAATTTAAATAGATAATAAATGACTACAATAATACATTTTATGATAGCAATAAAGAATATGACGAAATAATCATAAGTCACGCTGCCCCTTTTGAATACAATTCGTTCTTCTTTTAAGAAATCTATTTCTTTAACGACATTCCCTGTTCGTCCGTTACGAGCAAACGACAAAATGATGATGCATCTAATGACATAACAAAACTTTCGGGTACACAAAGGAACAAAACAATAGAAATTATATAATAATTGTAATACTTTTTTAAGAAATCTAGTTCCAAACAATGTTAACTTTATGCCACAAAAATATTTTTATCTCGTATAAAACAAAATAGATTTATATAAAGATAAAATCTTTTTAAAATTTACAACTGACAAAAAAGACCAGAAGACAATAAAAATATATTTGTCACATACATATGCATTCTTTATTTTTGTAAATTTTTGATACAAAGTATATTTTTACTAAGATTGCTTTCGGTAAAAGTACTTCTTTTAATATTTGTTTTCATACCCTAATCTTTTATCTAGATTCTAAATTTGTCGTATAATAAGACTGATGAAGTCATAATAACATTACAGAATACCTTTATCGTACCTACCTTTTATCTAACTGGTACCACATTCCTTTTATTTTGTATTATATTACCTGACGATGTTAGCTTTTATTTTATGCCTCTAGTTTTTCCATAATTTACCACAATGAAGATATTATGCTTCTTAAATAAGTTCTCCAGAACTTGCTATAAGAAGCGATCGATGTTTAGATATGTTTTACTTAATTTACATCTCAATGGATATTTAGTATATTAGATTGCTTAATAGTCTGTATTTATATCAAGGTGACAGAGCAGTAACTAAGACTTATATTGGCAGTAGCAGGTGTTCGACACGGTTGAGATGTCTTCATAGTGAGTGCTTGTATGTAATCAATACCCTTGTCAATGTCTGGCCCTCCAATCACTAAAACTTGATCACGCAAATCAATGTCTGTTATATTGTATAACTAGTATATAATTAGTTTCATTATATATCATTATATCATAATTTTGTATTTATGTTTCAACATACAATACGCGATGGAAAACGTCCCAAACCAATACAATAACGAGTAAGCAGCTTTTCTTATACTTTTTAAAAACATGAAAATACAACATTTTAAAACATATCAATATTACACGATGAAAAAGACAAAACCTTTATAAATAAACTGATACTATATGTTTTAAAAAAGATTAAAATACAACACGGCGAAACTTAACAATGTTACATCATGGAATATGTTTCAAAAAAAACGGTTACGAGTAAACTAAGCGAGCAAATCTTGTCATATTGTCAACTGTCATAGTATGTAATTGGTTTCTCAGAAACAGCAGTAACGATTTGAATGACATTTTATATTTAATTGATGTTTTACTGTCCAAATTTATCTATATAGGTGTCATCCCAGAGATTTTTTTCTTAAGCCGAAAAGATGCCCAAGTACTACATTTAAAAAGATGATAATGTTGTATACATATTATTAATATGTGGCACTTTTATCTTATTCTATTAAACTATTTAATAACATCACAATATTCGTTCTGTATCTTCTTAACCCACGTCTAATTCAACTTGATTCGGTTACTATTTCAGCGATAGCTTTAAAATAAAATTATTTTTACATAATGGCCTTAACCACTGTGATAGTAATAAAATTACAAAGAATAACAAAGTAAATTACTAATGTCTCGGATGGACGTACGCTGGCCATTGGTAAAACGATGTTCCTGTACCCTGGAAACAAAATAATAATTATGTCAAATCTAACATCAATTTGGAAAACGGTAAGATCCAGTTATATGTAAATGTCATATCGTCTAATTTTCTTTTCTCTAATATGAAATTATCAAATTGATATTAAAAGGCTACTCAATGATAATCCTTGTGTCGTATGTCCTTGGATCCAAATGCAAATTATGAAAACTATGAATATTTTCATCTCTGAGGGCTAAAATGAAATGCCTTTAATTGTATCTCTATACATACTTCAAACCAAATCACAAGTATGAACGCTTATCAGTAGAATTAGATACACCAAACCGCAATAGGTATAATTACTTTGAAAATGAGGCCCACTTGCGAAGTAAATATACCTATTAACCTATTAACTATTAGTTAACAATAAGATTAATATTATAAATTATTAGAACATCTGTTCGTGTTTTGCTAACTACATACATTGATACTTACTTCAAGTGTTGTTCTTTGAATTCTTTTAGCAGCATCCTTTTCAAACTTCCACTGTAAATCACTTGAAGCATCTCTGCTGGAATCAACTATTTCATTCGTTTCAATGTCATTGTGTTTCGCATCATCTTGTTTCTTCTGTTGTTTGGATTCTTGTAGATCATTGATAAAAGCTGGTACGAAATATCTTATACCAATACCAGGTAAACTTTGAGAGCTCAGTATCTGAGATGGAGCGAAGTAACTTTGTACAGGTTGTGTTTTGATGGGTTGCGTAGGAATGTAAGAGTTCACGAAGTTCTGAACATTAGTAGCCGGCTGCAGCGTAGGAGATTTGATAATAACTTGAGTGTATCTTGGTTGCGGTTTGAAGAATGGGGGCCGCCTGAAATAAAACCACAAATTAACATCATGATTTCTTCAATGTTTCATTAGACGTTTCATCAATTTTATAAAAACACAGGTTATTATATAGGTTTGGGTATTAATTTAGAATTTTCTCATAAAACAGAACAATATTATTAGGACGACTAATATTCCCGTTCATTGTAAAATGAGTTCCACGTGATATTAATTTGTAAACTTCAAACAAAGAAGGTTGCAGGTGACTCTCCAAACTCTTTAAATTTGAAATTTGACATTTTGGCAGCAGAAATAACTAACAGGCAGTTCCTCCCCAGATGGCTGGAAATAAGTGCTGATACCTACAAAACGGTGCACAATATTTACTGCATATGATGAATATTATTACATTGGTTAATACAATAAAACATTTATCACAACACAACTTTTAACACTATCTCCTCGAATTGATTGTTATCATGCCTCTTCTAATGCATTCATACTGAGATATATTTTTATTATGTTCATTATACATACATAAACACTCACGCCTGTCATCCAGAGGGGTAGGCAGAGACTATGGACTTCCATTTGGCACGATCCTGACACACCTCTCTCGCTTCCTCCACATCCATATACTTACGCATACACGCTCGTCGGTTAAAGGTACTCTTAATTTGGCCCATTTTCAATATATCGCTAATTTGGTCGATAAACTTTCGCCTAGGGCGTCCCTTCCCGACTCTGCCGTTCACCTCTGCAACATAAATTTGCTTTTTCACTCTGTCCTCATTCATTCTTTCTACATGACCAAACCACCGAAGCATTCCTTTCTTAACCACCACACCATCTTGCAAACCACACTCTTCTCTTATCAAACAATTTCTCACTTTGTCATTCAGATTCATCCCTAACATACTCCTTAATGACCGTATTTCTACAGCATTTATTCTACTCTCGTGCTTCTTCTGCCACACCCAACTTTCATTAAAGTAGGGACTAACACAACATTGTGAATTGCCATACGTGCCTTTTTGGACTCATTCTGACTTCTCACAATAGGGTGTAGAGCCCTATTCACTCTTTTTGCTGCGTCTACTCGTCGTTCTATATCCTTATCATATCTACCATCCCTGCTAAATACACATCCCAAATACACAAACTCATCTACTTGCTCGACCAACTCCCATTCTATTCTTATTTCACATATCGTTTTTGAGTATCTCTCGAAATGGTAAGGACTGGAGAAGGAGTGGTGGCAGACCTACTGTACACCTTGTTTAATTTATATTGGGAACTTAAGCGGATACCGATCAATCAAACGGAAAACGATCAAAGCAGGACTGTAAAAACTACCGTGGGATCAGCTTTCTTAGCATTGTGGGAAAACTGTATGCTAAAGTACTAATTGAAAGAGTTATGAAAGAAACTGATGGAAAAATTTGGAATGTGCAAGCGGGATTTAGGATTTAGGACTTGGAAAAGGCTTATGATAGAGTGGACAGGGATGTGTTATGGCAAACACTGAACTCATTTGGGTTGAGCGCTGGGTTGATACAGGTATTGAAGTCTATGTATAGGGACTCTAGTGCTTGTGTCAGGATCAACGGGGCCTACTCGGACTGGTTTGGCATCCATAAAGGTGTAAAATTTGAAAGTAGAAGAATTCGGGTTAAGAATGGGTGAGTTAACCGTCAAATGCCTTTTGTACGCCGATGATCAAGTCATACTTGCGTCGTCGGCGGCCGAGTTGCAAATAATGTTTACATTAATGAACATGATATTAAAAGAAAAAGGAATGAAAGTGAACGCAAGTAATACGAACGTTATGGTTTTTGAAAGAGAAGAAAATAAAACGATATGTTCATTATCTAGTTATCAAGTGCAGATATTGTTTAAAATAATTTAATTGAACAAGTGAATAAATTTTGTTAGGAAATAACTTACCACTGTGCATTAGGATCGGGTGTGTCATCGCTACGATCCTCCCAAACAGGTGCAGGAATCCGATAGGGCTGCGGTAAGGGTAGCGGTTCTGGTGTAGGAGGTTCAATAGGGCCACCCTTTGTGCCGTACTTAACCATGATCCCATGTGCGCTGGACACGTACACCATCAGGCAAGTCAGCAACTGTTATAATAACAATCATGTTTTCTTTAAAGTTATAGTATTATATTACAAGCATTATGGTTAACTTAATGAACAAAAACCAAAGGATGAATAAAAGTATTGAATAATATTTTTGTATAAGAATACTTTCACATTTATCTTAGTAGTTTAGTAATAACATAGAAACAAGAAATAGGTAAAAAACACGAGTTTATCGTTAACTGGGTTATTCAAAGTATTCCATTTATAAGATGAGAAAATATTTCAAAAACAATAACAGAATAACGTCTTCATCTTGATTGTTGTTGAGTGATTGTAAATTAATTAATTAAAATCCAATCAAGATTAACAGTCCAATTTGAAACCTTGACGAAATTACACTTGCTTAGGTGAATCGTTCCCACGCAAATATCTATGTTCATCTAAAAGATATAATTTCAAGTTAAAATTTTTGATAATTCTTAAGTTCTTAACAGCTCTGGGATTTTACCGCTACATGATAACAATCGTACACCTCGTAAATGTCGTAAAATGCGAACAAACATATATAACTTTCTGCTGCAACCCTCAGATCCATACATAATGTTTTTGAAGGTTAAAAATAATGTACTCAGTCAGAAGTTTTTCTTAGACTAAATAAGTTAAAAATATAATAAGAATAAAAGTGTTTCTTAGGTTACAAGTCAGGATAGCCTGAGAGAATCCACCTAATTCTAACTGAGAAGTTATCAACTTCACTCACTAAATGCTTCCTAAGCTTAACAAACTCAGCATATTGTTTTCATTTGGGTCATCTGTATGTTCAGCTGTGGATTATTACAAGTTGATAATAATGATATTGCAGCACTAGTTTTAATCAAGTCTAGAAAATAATCCAGATGTTAAAAACTACTTCCGAAAACCACTGAATAAAAGTTTAACAGACTGGTGACCCGAGCGAGAGTATCGGCTCTGCGGTCACTAACCTCCCTCCCCGGCATATAATAAAAAAAAATTAAAGTGACAAGTGGACTTACAGTTCATTTGATGTTAAGTGACTACTGCAGCCCATGGACGTCTGCAAACCAACTTCAAACAAAGAAGGCTACCGATGCGTTGTCACTTCTGAGGACTAAGATGGAATTTCTCACAGCCAATTGAATTTTGGTTCTTTATACCTCTCATACCGGACCACAGCAGAACCAAAAATTAAATACAAAATAGATAAGAGGGTAGTACCTACCTAGATGAACTCCCAGGCAGTATAGGAGTCCTATTATCTCCACCAGCAATATGGGCTAGTTATTAAAGGAATGCCTTACTGTGGTAAATTTTTGAAAAAGTTTATATCCAGTAGCGGAGTCCAAAGGCTGATATTTAAATACATTAAAATAAAAAATAAAAACAATAAGAAATCTACAAGATGTAGTCAATTGCATAAATACTAATGTTACTAGTCACCATTGTTTTTATGAAGTTAGCAAATAGACTTTGTAACCTCCTTGAATTTCACTTCACTTTTATTAAGTGCACCTTCAACTGTTATCAGATAATCTTGACGATTTTATTAACTTATCTCAGCGTCGTGAACTACTTCAGGTAATTAATTGCGTTATGGTAACATGTGGTAATAACTATAGTAATGTGCTTATTTCAAGGTCACTCGTTTATAAAAATTATATCCTTAATCGTTTTGTACGACAAAAGGAGAGCCTAAAATGTAGCAGTGTACTAATTCGTACCTTTTGTAATGTAAGATACTTAACAATGCGAATAAGTTATAAAAAGGTTATTTAAATACCTGCAATCTCAGGGAAACCTTCATGTTGTTTCGTCCCTTTTTTTCTACCTTTTCATTCACCTGTATTCCTGAAACAAACAAATATTGCTTCAATTTATAATTTTGAGCTCCTATTCCAATATAAATTTCCCATTTGCAAGTTGTTATTAAGGTATGACTTTTGGATGTCCCAATTTTTATTATGTGAACTCTTTATGATGTGTCTCTATGACGTAAGGACATAAAAAATTATAATATCTAAGCTAATTTTGTTCGACGTATTCAGAGGCTTTTTATCCAGATTGCCAAAAATACACTAAACAAGCAAGCAAATTGGCTCCTTAATCTTCATTGGTCTTTAGGACGGAATGAAATCACAAGTATTCACTAATGGAAAAACATAGTGGTACTAATTACACAAAAAATATTAATCTACTCACTCCACCAACTTTAAGCGGAATAAAATGCATAAAATTAGTTTCATTCAACATCTAAATCTAACCAAATATTTTTTACGATGAAGTAAGTACTCGTAAACTTTATCGAACAAATAAATAACTTTTGGCTATTTATGATTTAACACATAGTAAAATGATACAGCTTATTTCTTTTTAGTCTTATTATCTGTTGAAATACAATAAATAATACAGGTATGATACGATGTACATATACTGTAATAGGTCCGGGTGAACTCACATGTTTTTTCGCAAACCAATTTTTTTAAAGGATAGGGGGATAAACGAGCACACAGTCCACCTGACGGTAAGTGGTTGCTACGACCCATAGCTAAAAGACGGTATTCTGTGAGAGTGTGGTCCTTCCCCGACCGAGCCGACCCATTCGTGTTACAACTATACTTCTAATATAGCTCCAGTATGGCTCTACCACGTATAATGTATAGTGCAGAGTGTTATTACTAATATAATCGTAAAAATTTGAAGTTGGAAATTTTAATATACGAGTATTTCTCAGTGATAGTCTAAAGGAATCAAATGATTTCGACCATACAAATTCCATTACACATTAACATGATATAATATGAAATAATGATTGCAAAATGTTTAAGGAAATGTAAACTAGTCAGTTATCTCGCGCATGCATCACAGCACTCGTAATACAAAAAGATTGACATTTTGTTGTAATAAATGATGTTACTCGTAATATGGAATTTAACACATCATGCTTAGTTGATTTTGTAATACAATGTTTTAAAAAATAAAGATGGTGGCGACAGCAGACTGGATTAAAACTAGTACTCTTCGTATCAGATTGAAAAATAGATAAACTGGAGGACAGTGTTTGAATATTACATTATTTGCATTTTATCTTATTACATAAAATGACCTATTTTACTGGAAAAGAGGCATTCTATCTTAGTCCTCACGGCCCATAGATATCTAAGCCAATCCTCTATTAAAAATCAAAATTTTCAAAATTCAGGTGTGTTGTCACCCGTGAGTATTAAGATTTAATACTTCGTTACCAGTAAAAAAAATATGGAATAAGGGTGACAAACGAGCACAAGGTCCACCTGATGGAAAGTGCATATCGTACTCATAGACATCTATCCTCGTTTAATAATCAAACTGTAGAGTGCGTTATCACTCCTGAGGACTAATTGAAATGCGTCGTCTCCAGTAAAAAACGAAGAAACTCATCAGCATTAAACTGCTATTTTACTGATATGGTATGGTGTTCTGTGATAGCGTGGCTCTTTCCCGGTAGCTATACCACATAAAGATAACATGTTTGTATATGTTGTGTATTTATTAAGATCAATTTTTATTTTCAATTGTTTATGCTGTAGTTTAAGACGAAAGAAGTTATTTATTGGGCAAATAAATACATAGAAATCATGATTAGCGTTCATTGTTTACACATAAAAATTATTATTGATGCTAGAACAAACAAGAAAGACGGACAGAACAGTATGCACGTTTCAAGAAATACCGAATCAGCCAAAACCATGCTCATGTTTGTGTTACGCAGACATATGAATTCTAAATCGTTTGCAAATAACAACATAGTTTTAGGTGCATATTTATGTTTTACCAGCAGTTGAAAATATACGGGCTGATAAAAAAGGAAGAAGAAAAATTCGTACGTGAAGGTGTGTTAATAAGTTAGCTTGGTTTCGGTGTGACTGTACGTAATTTTCTGTCTATAATTCTTTGTTGATCTGATTATCGGTGATAATCTTTTATATATATATATATATATATATATAAAAGACATAATATGTAACAAAAACTCTGTGGTTCCCGTTAAGTACGTAATCAGGATCATTATTCAAACGTATAAAAATAACTTTTTTTTAAAACTCGAACACTATCTTTTTTTATTTAAAAAAAAAATAATTGATGCAAATTGTATGTGATTTTATTACCTTTGCTTTGTCTGGGGAGTAAGAGGATTGTCAAAGACCCCGCTTTACTTAGCTTTAGCATCGGCTAGTGTCAGGTAATAAAACCAAATAAAATTTAAAAAAAAATTTTAATCAAATAAAAAAAAATATTGTCGAGTTTTTAAAAAAAATATTTCAATAGGTTTGAATACTGATCCTGATAACGTACTTAACGGGAACCACAGGGTTTTTGTTACATGTTGTATATATAGATATCTAAACTTTTATTTTATATAGATTCTAAAAGATCATTATATATATAATGACAGTTCTTTTGTTTGTCCTGCATGCGTTCCTCCTTCCTTCATGCGTTTTTTTTTATAGGATAAGGGTGACAAACGAGCACACAGTCCACCTGATGGTTAGTGGTTGCTGCGGCCCATAGACATCTACATATATCCTCTATTAAAAATCAAAATGCAGATGCGTTATCCTCCGTGAGGACTAAGATGGAATGCCTCATTTCCAGTAAAAAGGGTCTCCGGTTCTCTATACACTCTACTATACACTATACACAGTTGAGCTGCTATTTTACGTTGGTATTCTGTGAGAGCGTGGTGTATCCCCGGTCGAGCCGATCCATTCGTGCTACAACTATATTACTAATATAGCTGCAACATGGCTCTACCACGTATAAAATACTTTTATCATTCATCCGATTACGATGTAACTTTGTATAATGCCCGGGAATTTTTATTGTATAGCATGAAGGTTTCAAACATATTTAAAGCCTCAAAATGATAATTGCAGATGATAAATTAAATCGTAAATATAATGTCGTTAAACACATAATAAAATATAATAAGATTAAAACAATAAGCGTCATCATATTATCAATATGTGTTTTTCCTTGACTTCATTCCCTACGAACATTAAAATAACTCCATGTATAATCACCCAGATCACATAATTATTTACGCACGTTCTTCTTATGACATAAATACATGCATTTTTACTCAATACATTCACATGTATGCCAACAAAGCCATATTTCAGGAGGTCGCAATGCAAAATAATAATGTAAAAATTTCTTAATCGAAGGACGGCTACGAAATTTCAAGAGATACATACAACCGTAATAAAGAACTCTGAAGTCATTTTCTTACAAGCGTTGTAAATTGTTAAGCATGCAATTTATGGTTTTTGATCCGCGTAATTTAGGGAGTGTCCTTTTTGCAAAAGGTATAATACACACAGAACATGAAGTAGACGTTATTTAATGTAAAAGATTTTTTTATAAAATAAGTCTGACTATCGAGTTCATTGACAGTTTAAGTAAAAAATCCTTATTAGAAATGTTGACGCTCTTAAGGATTCTTCCACAACCTGAACCGATATTGCTTTATGTAATCTAATACATTTAAATCACCAATAATATAATACATTCAAAGCTACAGAAGGATATAAGTATACTAAAAATACGAAAAACAAGAATGTGTGTGCACATTTATTAAAATAGGTGCGAAGGTATAAACAAGGTCTTGGTTTGCAAGTATTCCACAGATAATGGAATTTAATAGTTTATAACAATGCGAAATATATTCATACGTCAATATACATATTGTACTTACAAATATATATGATTAAAATTTAAACTGCGATGAAACAACTTATCGTTATCACTATTTCCCTTAAAAGAGGTATGACATTTGACTTTATTTGTTTACATTGCGTCAGTCCAACTTTTAACATATTATTGTTTAAATTAAAATACTTTGTTGCGTGTTGCCTAAGTAAATTTGAAATGTGTTCCTCTTCCTTTATTAGGCTTGGTATACTACTTGATATAGACCATTTCTAATTGTGCCCACTGAAACGGTAGCCTCAAAAAAATTCCATAACTAGCACAATCGGTGTGCACGTTTTTAGACTTTTCTTCGTGGCTCAGCCAGCGTTAAAAGAACCACCTACATGTTCTTCCCCTCTGTAACCTTAATTTACCGCTAAGTTGCTAAATTACGTTAAAATTATTTTAGCTGTTTCTGCGTAATTTAGCTACAAACATCTAAATACTTTAACAAACTTTGCCTTATGTGAATAATAAATGAGAATGATGTCCTAATGTCGTTTATAAATAACAAGAATTCGGACAATGTACGAATACAGGGCAAATGCTCCTGCCTTAAATGTCGCTTGCTCATGAGCCAACCGACGAAAGAGACTTGTGGTACGCAAGAACTTGATATGTGCCTTGGGACGGCATGTGTGAAATCTAACGTATGCAACAGCTAATTATCCCACTGTGACTTGTCATCATTTCTGGACGGGATTTTAACTAATAAAATAATTAATTTAAGTTCTTACCTGTAAACGCATACACATTAGAAAAAAAACAAAATGAAATATATAAAGAAGGTACAATAGGCGGTCCTATCCCTGTGGAAGCGATTTCTTCAAAACGCGTATTCTAAGGAATGAAATTAAATGCAATTTTGATACGATTTCACTTATTTCAGCAATTTTGTTCTTCTATATTGACTTGATCTTTTTAAATCTGGAAGAGTTATATTGTTTAACGAGCTGTTCCCCGCGACTTCGCACGCGCGTAATTTATTACGATTGGATTTCATGGGTTATAATTTTTTGCGCGGAACCCTATTTCTTTTTTTAAAATAAAAGTACTACTATACTTCTTATAACA